ATGAATAAGCACAATGTGAAGCCATCATCTGTCCAGGCTGGAAATTTCAGGATCATTCTAGACTTTCCTTTTCTTCATTCCCACAATGATAACAGTGACCGATACTTCCTGAGATGTCCTTGGTCCCAGGGGCTTATCTGAACTGAGTCCTCAAATCCTCCCAGCAGCCTGTGAGGTGGAATTAATATTCCCATTCTGTAGACAGGAAGCTGAGGCTGAGAGGGGCCACACACTTCGGCTGGTTCAGGCCACACCCTTGGCCACCTCCCTTCGGCTGCTCCCAGTTCACCAAAGTTGGGCCGAGACTCTCCCATCTCCCTGGTCTAGCCTGCCGGCCCACACCCACAGCATTTCTTGGCTGGATGGCTGTCACTGCCCAGCAGGTAGCCCCATAGGGATTGCCCCCTGGGTGAAAGCCAAGCTCAGCTTTTTCTGCAGGAGCAGCCCAGGCCCTTGTAACCTTCGACACACACCTGGCCCAGATCAGCCTTGCCCTGCCCAGGGAAGCCCTTTCTGACTTCTTTGTATGGCAAAGTCTCCCTCATTTCAGACAACCCTGCCTGGCAGGTTGGGCTCCTGGCTGGGTTTTCCTGACACTCAAGTGCCATTTGGAGTTTTCAGTATTGGTGAAGTCAGTATTGTGGGTATGAAAGACTTCTTCATGTCTGTGCCCCCTGCTCCCAGAGGGACAGGGAGGCTGTCATAGTGAGACATGAAGCATGATGGTTAGCCTCAAGGGCCCAGGAGCCACTCTGCTGGAACCAGGATCCACGCCTACTTGCTGTGTGACCTTGGGTAAGTCACTTAACCTCTCTGTGCCTCAGAGTCCTCATCTAAATTGTATCTACCACATAAGGTTGTCACAGGATTAAGTGAAGAAGTAAAGCACTTCAAGCAGCACCTGGCACCCAGTGGCGCTGGCAAGTCATCTCACACTACATGTGCTGGGTGCCTGCCTCTGGCTGAAGGAAGTCCTGGCAGCTGAGCATGCTGTGTGGATCCAGCCTCTCTGGGTACCATCTAGAGAGCCTGGCAGTGTGATGATCTCGTTACCTGTGACGGAAGAGAGCAGCCACAGCTAGGAACCCCTGTGTCTGCCCCAGCGCCCCAGATCTTAGAAGCTGCTGTCACTGGGAACGATGCAGACAGAACAAAGGCCCCTGAATCGTGTGGAGTGGGAAAAATCACTTCAAATCTGTTTTTTCAAATCGCGTTATTTTAAATGCCCTGGGCGGGTGCCCACGTGTGCAGGGACACTCAGCCTGTCCAGAGGCGCTTTGTCTCTTTGAAAGGCCCTATTGTGACCCCACACCGGCCCCAATTGATTCCCAGAACAACAGGCCCTTGTGTGGGCCTCGAAGGCAGGCTCGCTCCAACCCACGGCTGGCCGTGCAAACTCTTTGCTGTCTCTTTAAGGTCAGTGTAAAACAGCCTTCAATCCTCCATTTTGGCTTCTTTGCTGCAAAAATAGTCCTACAACCTGTGGGGGCGGGGGGTACGAGATGCTGTTTAGAATTCAGCTCTCGAATGCTGATGAAGCCCGGCTCCTGTAAACCGTGTCTTCTTCAGAAGGGCAGATTGATGGAGATCTATCGTGTGCAGAATGGGGGGCAGGAGCTTGGCTCCCTGGGACACCTCCCAGGCCACCCTACCCTGCACAGGGAAAGCCATCAGGAGGGTACCCCCTGGAATCCCCCTGAAGCAAGGTGCCACAGCCTGGAAGTCACAGGCCATAGCCGCCAAAATGTCCTGGTTGGATTTGGCTTGTAGCTGCCTTTTGCTGATTGCTCTCTGGTGACGTGCACTCTCCCCACGTGTCCATAACAAATCATAAGCCCTGTGGAGCTGCCCAAGGGCCATGGAAGACAGGAGGGAGTGCACTGATGAAATCACTGTCCAGTCAAAGCCACACCGGAGCGCTCCCAGCCACTGTCCCAAAGCCCTGGTCGAACCCCACTCAGAAGTCCCCTTTCATCTGGCATCTGTTCACAAGGTCTCGTCTCACTGTCATTTCCTGAGAGGCCAGAGGACAGATACGCATGAGCTCAGGTCAGCTAGAGCAGCCCTAGGGCACTGGGCCTGCTCACTCATGCGGCCGTGTTTACTGAGCGCTGGACCCATGCCCTCCTGGCACCTGGCCGGGTGCTAGTGTTCCTGGGTTCACGGAGAGCACACAAACCACAGGGACAATCAGGGGAGGAGGAGGAGGCCCTTAGCAGTGACCCACGAGGCCCAGTTGGTCCAAACTCCCCAGTCCTCTTCTCTGTTGGGCCCAAGATTTGATAGGGATGACAGTGGGGTGACTGACTATGGTTTGGCCTATTCTGTAAGCTTTGGCTCTTGGTCACATCATAGACATTGGCTTCTTCCTAATCCTTTCTCAGGCTTGTGGACAGATTTAGCTCTTTATTCTGTGAGCATAAAAATACCCTGTTCCTCACCTTTGCAAAGTATCAGCTGGACTGGGCTAGGCTTTGACTGTGTGGGGCTGCAAAGTAGACCTGGTAGTTACCTGAGCTGGTGCGGCTGTGGCTACAGTTCTGAGCAGCCAGATCCTCTCCAGAAGACAGCTGAGGCCAGGGCCTGGCCATGGCTGTGCCTGTGGCTTGCTGCAGGCCCTGGTGGTAATCCGGGGCTGTCTTAAGTGCCTGGATTCACTCTCTGAAGGTCCCTGCCTACTGGCATCATGGCACCACTAAATCTTACTGCCACTTCCTGGGAGGCAGGAGGACAGCCCCGTGTGAGGACAGGTCTGGGCACCTTGAGGTCATATCAGGCCCAGGGCTCCAGGGCCAGAGGGAGGCCGCCCTCAATCTAGCTGCACTTCTCACCACCTGCACCAGCCTCAGTTTCCTCATCTGTAGGATGACATGGCCACTGGAAAAGTGACAAAGGCTATATATGGAAGGTGCTTACACAGTGCCTGGCACAAGGCAAGAGCCCCAAAATGGCCGGGAAGATGGTTACACAGGGGTGAATTTGGGTCTTCTGGGCAGTTATATTCGATCCAAGTAAGGGTCACCAAGCAGGCAGTCTCTGAGTGCCTTAGGTGGCACCAGGCTCTGCCCTAGAGGAATTCCCCTCTTGTATAAGACCCAGAGGTAGAGAGATGAGGCGTGCCAGACAGAAGCCTTCGGCTTTGGGGGCCAGACACATCCTCCCAATGGTCCCGGCACATAGAGAGTGCTCAGCTGGTGCCCCTGCTCTGCAGCCTGCTTCACCTAGCAGGCTTATTTAATGTCCTCATTTGCAGCCCTTCCTACCCAGGCACCGTGGGCTCCCAGGGGAGCAGCACCCATGGCTGGCAGGGCTGCTGCCAGCACGCATGTGTACCTGCAAGTATGAAACAGCCGGAAATGGACAGAGCTGGGCACAGAGTTGCTGGAGCAAAGAAATCGGGGGGGGGGTGGGGGGGGGGGCAGTGGGCAAGGGGGAAGAGCAACACCAGGAGGCGGCATTTTTTTGAGGCTGGAAATGAAACCTTGCCCATTCAATTCACATCCAAGTCAAATGTGAAATGAAACTGCAAATTTAAAACATGCCCAGGGATAGAAGGAATAAGAAGGTGGTGCCAGAGAACCATCCGCAAAGCCTTTGGTTAAAGAGAAAATAGAGAAAGAGTGTATGAAAAGTTTTTAAAAAGAGAATGATTAAAATGTCAAAACACTGAGAAGCCCTTGGGAAACTAAGCCTTCCATTTCTTCTTTTTTTGATGAGAGTAAGAAGTGAGTTTCATCAACACGATGTTGCTGGCTTCCTATAATGCAACTGGGCAGTTTTGTTGAAAAATGAGGCTTTCCTCCATCAACACTTGATGCAAGTTTTGTTAAACATGTAACAAACTTCCTACTACTTTTCATTTGTAGTTTAGTTTTTTAAGGTGAATCTCCAATCAAACCTTTTGTTCATGATGTACAATGAAATGTTGGCTGTTTGAAGAGGACTTGCTAAAAGTGGCTGGTTTCTGGTACCAGTTATCCTGGGTTAACAAAGGACCTCCTGAATAGACCAATCTAGTTGTAGAATCTCCAAGTTGAAGAGGAGTAAAATGTCAACTAAACTCACCACTTGAGGCTTGAATTTTATTTTATTTTATTGTTTTATTTTATTTTAGAGACAGGGTCTTGCTCTGCTGCCCAGGCTGGAGTGCAGCAACACCATCACAGCTCACTGCAACCTCAAACTCCTGGGCTCAGTTGATGCTCCCACCTCAGCCTCCTGAGTAGCTGGGACCACAGGTACCTGACACTGTTCCTAGCCTGAAGCTTGAATCTTTGCCTCCACGGCTGCCAGCAAGAGGTCATAGACGCTCTGCCACACACCTCCATAGCGGGAAGCTCATAGGTCTTGGAGCACCTGTCCCAGGGTCCCATCACTGGAATGGCGTTAATTCCTGGGAGCCATGGGATAAAGGAGCATTTCATAACAGAGCTGGGCTTTCCAGATTCCTAACTCAGTGCCTTCTTCCTAATCATCCCACCTCCTTTCAACCCAGATATCTCAGACCTGAAACATGGCATTCTCCCTCTTGTCACTACTTCCTTTCACTCTGTAATTTCCCTTCATTTCTCTCCTATGGAGGGGTCTAAGGAAATTCTAAAATAATGCATGATCCACGTAATTGGAACAGAACAGACTACCCAGAACATTCTGATGAGTTTCACAGTGAATGAATGGAAACTTCTGTACTGTGTTTTCTTTTGGTGGAAGGAGGTTCTAGTGGGGCCCAGACCACTGTGTCTTGTAGGAAAGAGAAGGGGCCCTGGGCTGGCACTTAGCCAGTTTCCAGAGAGAGGGGCAGCCATCTGGGCAGGTAGCTGGGAAGGTGGGCTCCCCAGAGTGCAGTGGCTGGGCACACACAGTGTTGTCTGAGCTGCCACCTGATGCTGTCTCTTGAGATTCAGGTTAAGTCAAAGGATTCCTCAGAAAGAAAGCTGAAATGATGGCATTCCTGATGCTGGGGAATTCAATCCAAACCCAAAAAACACCCAACAAATGTGTTGAACATAAAGACACTTTATAAAGTATTTCAAAGGGTTATCATCTTCCACCATGGATATTTGGAAAGATCTGTTGAGTGAGTTTTAGTCCCCATGACACACAGACATCCATGAAGACTTGAAACATGTCACAAGATGGGGCACTCAGGAGAGCCTGTAGAAAATTCCAGATAGCCCTTCTTAAGAGTTGGTCCAGGGGTCAGCAGGGGATCTTTGTTTCCTTCTTAGGTCATGGTCCCCACTTCCCACCCCTGAGCAAGAAGGTCCCCTTTCACAAACAGGAGGTGACCTAGCAGACAGCGCAGCAGTCGGAGGTTAGACACAGCAAGCTCCCAACCCGGACTCGAAGGCACACGGGAGAGTCAACACAGCACCCACAAGCAACAGGGCAGGGTTTTTTTTTGGGGGGGGGTTGTTTTCTTTTTTCCACCATCAAGGGCATTTCTGTTTTCTAGAAAGTTATGCTGGAAGGTGAGGCGACCAGTTAACACCATCTGGGTTTTCAGCTCAAGCTCTGCTGCGGCTTTATGAAGACTTCCACCTGATTAAAGAGAACACCGCGTGGACCACGTAGAGCAGCGTGGCTACGTAGGAGAACACCTGGAACCAAGAGAAATGGCCGTTAATGGGCTTGCTCGGGGAGGACAAGGCACAGAGTCTGCACTGCATCCAGCCCCACATGGCGCAGGGTTACCAGACCCAGAGAGCATGAGCTGCCATTGCTTCTCATCCCTCACGCAGAGGACACCCTCCCTGCTGAGCCCAAGTGTGCACCAAATCCTCTCAGTACGGAGCACCTATGGGCTCCTGGACATGGTGTGCAAGGTAAGACTCTCCACTATCACCCACCATCACACTGGACTCAGCTTGAAGTATCAGCTGACTTGAGATGGAGTCCCCAAAGTCCCCTCCAGTGAAAGCATCTCAGGCAGGTAACTCTCCAGGGACAGCTTCCCTCCCCACACCAGTGGGACCAGCACTCACCAGCTGTGGTCCTGGTAGCTCGGTTGGGAGATTGTAAAGACCTGGGTTTGCTGGCCCTGGTGAAAGTCTCCATGCTGCTTGGATATCCTTGCCCTCTCAGAACTGTGTTTTAGGGTTCTTAATATCACAGGTGTGGCCAAGGGAGCCAGGCTTCATAGGAAATGAGGGACAGGGATTTTGAGCTTTTGTTGAAAGAAGGGGGCTTACTGTTGGGACCACGCAGTCAGCCACTGTGGCCTTGGGAGGGATGGCCCTGCTTGCCGGGGACTTGCTGTGTCCTCCTGGGCACCGTCAGCTCCCATCACCCTACTCCCTAAATACTTGCCTGCCACCAAGTCCAATCTCTGCACCTGATTTTGTGACCTTGAGTGGGGGTCAAGAGTTTCCAGCTCAGGCACAACATCCATTTAGGGTGGCTACGCTTCTGTGACTCCTGAAAATGCCCATCAACCCCAGCCCTCATGGTGCCTGCCCTCCTGCCCCCACACCTGGGCAAGCACTTTCTCTCATGGCCTGGAGGTGGTGAGTAAGCCAAATTATTGAATAACACATTTACGAGAATGTATCCAGGGAGGAGCAGTCACACACCAGAGGCAGCCCTCCAAAAATGTGGGCATTCCGGACCAATGGGAGCCTTTGGAAGAAGCACCTTGGAAGTCCCCAACAGGCAGAGCAGTGGAAACTCATTTTTCAAGTAGGACCAAGAAATGGCCCACTGGGAAAACATAGAGCTGGGCATGAATGGACATGTTTTGGCTTCAGAAATCCCTCTCCCTAAACTGCAGCCATAATTGCCCACCATAGTTATAATTGAGAAGCCTCCAGATTTCTCCAGAAATCTCCATCTCGCCCCCATCTCGCCCCAATCAGCTTCCACTGGTCCCCAGGGTCTCTTTAGGAAAGCATCTCTGCCACCCACGAAGGAGAGAGGGAGGAGCTCAGCTTGGGACAGACCCTAATTAGTAGCCACAGAGTGGATGTGAGGCAGGCTGGCTGCCTCCAAAACCAGGTTTTGTGAGAGAGGTTGTGAGGTGCCTCCCTGTACCCAAGTATCCCCTGGACTGGGCATGCTGTGGCTTGGTGGGGGGGGGGTCTGGGGTTGAATCCTGAGTAATGAACTTTTTTCTTCCCCACGAACAGATGCAGTTGATACTGTGGGTAGAAAGGCGTGACTTTACATCCAACACCGTGCAGATTCCCCATTAGTGGTTTTGTTCGGGCGCATCTGCCAGCTGAGAACACTCCGGTTCTCGTTTCTATTGGTTCTGTCTTCATGAGCATATTTGTGTCTATCCAACTCAACTAAAAAAATGGGGAGATGGTCAGTTGTGGGTTGGATAAATAGCTGTTGGTCTATTCCTACAAGGGAGTACAATATAGTAATGAGAACAAACAAGCCACATGTACACCCAGCCACATGCATGAATCTCACAAACACAAGGTGAGAGAAAGAAGCCACACATGAGCACCCACTGTGTGATTACACTTACATGAAGTTCAAAGGCAGGCACAGCTGAACGGGGTGCTAGAAATCAGAATTGGGTGGTGGTGGGAGTGCACAACGATGGGGACAGGATTTGAGGGGATTTCTGGGAGTGGTTTATCAGGCCCTATGTCTTAATCCAGATGCCCACTCCACAGGGGAATTCACTTTATGAAAGTTCATCAAGCTGTGCGTTGGTAACTGCACACTTCTCTGGCTGTGTGCTGCATTTTGATAAAAGGTAAGAGAGAAAAATCAGAAGGCAGTAGAGCCTAGTGGTTCTCAACTAGTGACCTGTCCAGTGGGAAGGGGCATTCATTCATTCCCCTGTCTGGGTTTTTTTTCCATCAAGTGCTGACCCACTAACCACATACCATCTACATTTCACAACCCTTGTCCACAACAATTTTATGGAAATTGTTGTCAGACACTTTGCTGATGTTTGTTAAAAGAGAATGCTTAGTTGGGATGGGGGAGGTATGAGGCAGTCTTGGGAGAGGGAGATGAGACAGAACTGTGTGAAGAATGACGGAGGGTGGGTCACCAGCCTCTTGGGGAAAGGAGATCCGTCAAGATGTCACCTCGCTGTGCTGCTGCTTGGAAACCAGCCATGTTGGGAGATGGGCCAACATGGGAAATGTTTCCACACTGTGAGGCCCCTGGGAGATGCCAGGATCCTGAGGGGGCCCTCTTTAGGGGAGCAGTTGTAGGCTGGGAGCTTAAGGGCAGTGTGTGGCTTCCCCAGGCAGGGAACTGTGCAGAGGGACCACCAGGTGAGGCTTTGAGGGACTTTCCTCTGAAGAGTTACCTCACCAGCCTCATTCCCAAGGCCCAGCTGTGCCCATCTGTGGGTTTTCTCTCAGCCTCCGTCCTACACTTTCCAAAAAGAGGGGATGACACGGTTTTGGCCACCGGAGCTGATATCTCAGGATCTATCACCACATTCTACCTTGGGATTTGCATAATTCATAGGTCAAGTTCTAGAGATCTGAAGGGTGCTGTTTTGGAAACGTCTTACTTTTTAACAATAACCCATGGTTAGAAGCATGCTTTATATTATAGACTGGTGCAAGGGCACACATGCACAACTCGGAAAAGCACTTGATGAAACAACATATTCTGTTACCCTGTCATTCTGATCCAGTCCATTAAAAAGAAAATCCACCTGGCTTCAGCGTCCCCACCCCTGGCTAGATGCTTCAATGGATGGCCACTCAGAGAGAGTCAGGAGACTCATGTGGCCAGACTCACAGCCCTGAACTGGTGTTGAGAGTGTGGGGACTGGGCCCCCAGCCTCGATGCCGGGCCCCACGATGACTGGCGATCTTGGGCCAGTCACCCACACTCTCTGGCCCCAGTTCTCCCTCTGTGAGATTGGCGTCATGACCTTGGGTTGTAGGGTTGCTGTGGATGTTAAATCAGATTGTTCACGAAGCACTTGGACAGGGCGCTGGGCGGCCGTCATCCCTTCACACATCTGCCTTCTGCAAAGCCCACCCAGGCCTGGGACATGCAGCCCTGACAGGAAGAATAAGCAGAGTCTTGGGCATGACACTCCCCTTCTCGGAGGCTTTCCTGCTTCAAGGATGAGGGGATGGTTTGACCTCACGGAAAAATTAGTGAGCTGAAAACAGATGGAGGGCCTCGGCAGCCTCTGCACACCCCCTGCCAGCCGCGCAGCTGCCTGCGTGAACACAGCCCCAGATGCCCGGACTCACCACGGCAGCGATGTTTTCGTGGTAGTGCCTGTAGATGAAGCCTTCTTGAATCGTGATGGCGGCCAGGGCCTCCAGGACCGAGGCGCTGAGGTAAAAGAGGGCAGCGGTGCAGTGGTAGGCTGCGTCCTGTGGGGCAGACAGGGTGTCAGAGGGATGGGGAGAGAGAGACAGGGCCCAGATGCAGAGCTGAGGTCCCCTCCACCCCTGCCCCTAGCCTCTCCTCCCACTTTCTTTGAATTCCACCCCTCCCAGCCTCCTCATGGAGGTCCTGTGCCCGCCTTGCTGCACTGAGTCTCACTTCACTGCTTGGGGTCAGAGCAAGCACTTCCCCGGGGATGGGACACTGGTCTCCCCTGAGGAAGGGTCAAGGGAGAGGTGGAGGAGGGGCCAGCAACTTGGGATGCCCCAGGGAGAAGCTGGTCCTGGATCTGAGACGTGTCATGCATGGCCACAGTTCAGCTTGGGTGTGGCCTCACTGGCCAGTGCAGGGTGAGGGCGGCCCACACTGTTTCTATTGTGTTTTTTGTTTTGTTTTGTTTCATTGCTTATTTTTGGTTCCTGGTATATTTAAAAGCATTAAAGGGCTGGGTGTGTGACTGTAATCCTAGAGCTTTGAGAGGTCAAGGCAGGAGGATCTGTTGAGGCCAGGATTTGAGACCAGTCTGGAAAACATACTGAGATCCCCATTTCTACACAAAACAGTAAATCTTAGCTGGACACAGTGGCGCATGCCTGTAGTCCCAGCTACTCAGGAGGCTGTGGCAGGAGGATCACTTGAGCCTGGGAGGTTGAGGCTGCAGTGAGATGAGATTGCACCACTGCACTCCAGCCTGGGCGACAGAACGAGACCCCCAACTCAAAATAAAGAAATAAATGAAAGTGAAAATGTACTAAAACAGGGTTTTGTGTAGTTATGATTTGGAAAGAGGCTTGGCCAAATGGCCTCCACCACCTCTACAGTAGGGAAGGGCAGTATCCCACATGTAAAAGTTACCTTTTCACAGGCCTCAAAGCAGGATTTACATAGAATAACCACCGCAGACCATTTCTGTTTCCCAGTGTTCTCTGACAGCCCTGCTTGGGAGTCAGTGGCTGAGGACCCAGACAGTAAGCATGGCCTGACCCCACCAGCCAAGGCCAGTTTCCAGCCTGCGTCAGCCTCCGGGGACCTGCTCCCCTGAGATGAAAACAGCCCTCCCGGGTGATGGGAGGGGCAGCAGGCACCTGGTGGATGCAGGTGGTGTGGTGGCTGGGCAGCTGGTTATCTGTGGAAAGGCAGTTACGCAGGAGAACACAGAACAGGTCCAGTGAGGGTTGGCTGCACAGACCTTGCCTCTGCCCCTGACTCTCCTGATTCTGCTGTCGGGAGCCCTGGGCAGGCTCAGCCTTGGAACATGGTGGTGTGACATCTATGGGGAAGTCTCACCTGGCACTGGAAAAGCCAGCCCTACTGGGCCAGGGGCCAGTACTACCTGCTCCCACAGCAGCCCTGGGCGGGACTCACCAAGGTGACCCAGGAAGTCTCCCCACCGTGGGCTCCAATTATGTACAGGACGATCAAGGTGGTGGTGGCCACGAAGCAGAACACAGACACGAACATCACCCAGCCCTGGATCAGGGGCCAGGGCACTAGTGAGGAGGCCACCAGGATCCACACCAGGCCCCCGAAGACCTGCAGGGGAGGAGCGGAGTGAGTGTCGGCCCAGAGGAAAGCCCCAGCCTGGGAACAGCCCCTGACCAGCAGTCACATGGGGTGACTGGGGTGCAGAAACACAGAAAGAGGGCAAAGAGAACAGGGCAGGCATTCTCCTCCTCATCAGAAATGCAGCTTTAGTCCCCCCAAAGGCACTGGGCTAGATCTCATTCCCAATCCCCTGCACACTTGCTTTGATTAACTTTAAAAAAATTTTTTTTTTCTTGAGACAGTCTTGCTCTGTCACCCAGGAGTGAGTACAGTGGCATAATCTGGGCTCACTGAAACCTCTGCCTCCTGTGTTCAAGCAATTCTCATGCATCAACTCCCTGAGTAGCTAGGACTACAGGCATGTGCCATCACACCTGACTAATTTTTCTCTTTTTAGTAGAGATGGGGTTTCACCATGTTGGCTGGGCTGGTTTTGAACTCCTGACCTCAGGTGATCCACCTGCCTCCACCTCCCAAAGTGCTGGGATTACAGTTGTGAGCCACTGCACCTGGCCTGATTCACTTTTTAAATACAGTTTAAATTTTTTATTTAACAAATATTTATATCAGACCTACATGCCAGGCAGTATCCTAAGCACTTTATAAATAATAACTCAGTGATTCTTACAACAACCCTATGAGTAATGCTGACCCGTTCGCCAGATAAGGAAACTGAGGTAAGTGGAAGTTAAGTAACTCATCATTCTGAGAAAGGATTTATGTCATTCAGTATTGTCATGAGAAGGGCTGCTCTTCTGAGATTCTAGCCTTTCTACTTGCTTTGATATTAAAATGTCCTTTCTTTTATGCAACTGTAGTGACCAGCAGATCCTTTCCGTCTTTATTTGGCAAGACAAATTAGCCACACTGTCAGTAGTCACCCCCACCTCCTTTCTATCTCTCTCCCCTCCCTTTCCCTTCCCTCCCCCTACCCATCCCCTTTCCCATCCCCTTCCCCCTCCCCTCCTGCTCCCCCTCCCTTCCCTTTTTTCCTCCTCCTCCTCCTTCTCCTCCTTCTTCTCTCTCTCTTTCTTTCTCTTACTTATTGTTTCTTTTTCTGGATTCAACCCCTTATATCCCCAAGTCCAGGAAGTGTTCTGACCACAGATTTGGAGTTGGAATAAAGAAACCCAGGTCAGCCTTGTCTCCTTGGACTGCCGAGGATGGGAGTGAGGGAAGTATAGCCTCGCGGTTATCCAGAATATATCCCAGTTGATGTCCCCAGGGTCAGTGAGCCCCATTTACTCAAAGAAGGGCAGACACGGGAACCAGTAGTGCCCCTCAGTGGCCTAGCCCCGCTCCTCGCCAGGGTTGGGCACAAACAAACCCCAGCGGGGACTTTCTGTACTTCTCTTTCCCTTCTCTTCATCTCTCCCCGCTCCCCTCAGTGAGAATCAGCTCAGCCTCATCCACAGGTTCCCCACTCAGATGGGGACTGAGCTCCTAGGACTCTAGCCCTATATGGAGATTCCTTTGCAGCCAAAAGTCTCCAAGGTACTACGGAGACATCTGGGGGACTGAGGATGGGGTTGCCCTCCGAGGCCTATGTTCCCTGTAGTGTGAATTCACACAGCACCTTGACCCTCCACCTCCCTGGACCTGCTATCCACCTGCTGGGTGAGAGATACTACTGTCTTCACAGGTGTTCTTTGAGCTGCTTGTCTGAGAAGCATCAGGAGAGAATTGCATTTGGGTAGAAAAATCAGTGCAATGAAGATTCTGGATTTATTAAAACCAAGTTGTCCCTAAGGAATCAGATGTGGGTATCTCTGACGAGAAAGCATCCTCTGCTGATGGATCTTAGGTTGCCTGAAGACACATGGCAGGGCCGGAGGGATGCACTGTGTACCTTATAAAAATGGGAGCAAAATCAATTAAATAAAAATCCCCAGACCGCCATAGAATAAGATGTGTGTATGGATTTCATCCACCATTGAGTTTAAGATCAAACAGATTATGCAGTCTTTTCCAAAGCGGGCACTGATGGAGGGACAGGAGTGAATTGGTGCAGGCGGGACTTGGATTCAGGAGGCATGCGAGGGTGGCGCGGAGAAATGGGAGGATCCATTGGACACATCCAGAGGGCAGAGGGTGGTCCTGGCCTGGGAATCCCTCCCCTAAGCACCCTTTGCCTGGTGGCCACGTGACCCTCCGAGGAGGACAAAACTAAGTTGCCTCCTTGTTCATGTGCTCTCGGGGAGTCCTGCATGTCTTCTCTGTAGCACTCAGCACAAACACAGGGGTATTGGATTAGGGACAAAGTGGTGCTTCCCCTGACCAGGTGATGGTGGGCTTGAGGTCTGCCTTGCTCACAGCTGCCTCCCTGGAGGGGACCCGGAGAAGACCCATTCAGCCACGCATCAGTGTCCAAGTCAGCTAATGAGCCTTCAGTCTCCTGGTACCTGGGTATGGCTAAACTAGAGCCACTTATGAACCAAACCCCAAAGGAGCAGCTTGGGTTGCACATGGTAGGGAGGAGACTCCGTTATGGAATCCCAGTGGGACCCCATGGGCCAGAGGTGCTTATGGGTGACCAATGGGCATGCTATTGAGGAACACTCAATTTTACAGTGAGGGAATGATTCCCTGCACCTTTACTCTCTTTGTTTTTTCTGATGAAGGCAAGAAGGGCTCAGGGTGCAGCTGGGTGTCTGGAGTTCCCTTATAGTGCAGATAGGCAAAGGTGAACCGGATAATGACATTGTTTCTATGCTTATGATTGCAATGTCATCATTTGGGGAAAAATTAACTGTAAAATACATACGAGATGAATTAATGCACAGGTGGCACTTGGAAATGGCAAATCTGAGAAGGTGGCCCCCAGCTCCTATCTGCAGAGTCATCTCTCTCCACTCCATTCTTCCCACGTGGCTTGAGATGTGATATTTGAGGAATCAAGGGCAGGAAAAGTGAGGGGAAGTCAGTGCATGGAGGGCTGGCCACAGCCTCTGTGTGCACCTTGCTGACTGTAGCCACAGCATGGGCTCTGAGCTTCCAGCAGCTGCACGGAGAGCCTCGAGGTCAGGCTAGACTCTCTGCTCTCACTGTTCTGGTGAGTGCTTTTACCAACCCGATGAAGACTATTTTTCAGCTCCCTGGGAAACTCCATGCTCCCCACACTGGCATGCAGATTCCTGCAGTCTGTAATGGGAACCCTGTCCACAGTTGCCCATAGAACAAAGTCTACCATGGGCTCAGCCCCAGCCCCTGTCCCCTGACAGAGCTCAAAGCCCCATCCAAACTCCAGGGGCTTCACCTTGCAAGTGGGCCCTTTAAAAAAATCAGGCTGACTTTTTTCCTTTGCATGGTACATTCATGGCAGAAAGGGCACATTTCAAGCTCAGTGGATGCTGAAGCAGTTGTGAGGGCTTCGGAGGCTGAAGGCTGGGCAGCTGGGCACAGGTCAAAGAGTGGCAGAAGATGAGGCTTGAGGGAGGGTGAGGATCCAGCCCTGCTATATGCAAAGCTGAGATTTGGTGTGAACCCTGAGTCAAAGCTGGTTCCCGTCCTGCTCCACCTACTAAATGTACAGAGCAAACAGAATAAGCAGGGCACCCTCACCGGGAGATAAGGCACTCCTAGGCATGGAGCAATCCACTCCAGCCTGGCCTCAGGACCCACCCCACCGGCCAAATATTTGTCAAGAGCAAGGGAGTAGGTGAGGGTTCAAGCATTTTCCTTCATCAAGGAAACTCCGGTGGCTCCCAGATTCCAGGTGGCCATGCACAGAGGCAATTATTTTGAAAACATTATTGATACTCTGTAGGCATGGCGCTGTGTCCCCTTGGTTTCTGTCAACAGGTCAGACTTCGCCTGAGCCCACAGCTGCACCCTGTCATTGTCCATCAAAATAGAGATGGTGCAGCTGGTTGGGTAATCCCAGACAAAGGTCTCCATTTGCATGGCGGGAGAGGGACAAGGGTTGAGCGCTCTCTGGGTTCCAGGGCCTTAAGTAAGAAGATGGGGATGGGGCCTAGGCAAACACTCTGTTGTCCTCAGCCCTAACTATACATTAAGTCACCTGGGATGCCTTTAGAAAAAAACACCAAAGCCTGGGACTCATGCCCAGTGTCTGATTCTGCGGAAAAGAAGCAGAGTGATGGGACAGATGCCCCAGACTCTTGGCCAAGGCCTTGTGATGTGTTACCATAACATAAGGCCATGGACAATGCTTTGTAGCTCCTGTCCCAGGGCCCTGCCTGTCCCCCAGTGATGCCAGCTGACTGCTCCCTTCCAGGTCCTGCCTGGCCTTTCAGTGCAAAATGTCACCCTAGTGTTTCCTCTCCTCTCTCCACCTCTCCTCTCCTCGAGCTTGGATCTTCGTCTTGCCTGGAACGTGAGACTAGCTTGTACTTGGGTGTCCTCTAAACTCTGAGATGCAGCCTCACTGTCTGAGGATGGGGGCCGAGGGGGTACATGAGTGATTGGAGGCCCCTCCCAACTCTGATATGACAGAGCTGGAAACCACCCATCTTTAATTCAGTCCAGTTGGGGGTGCTGAGCAGAGTTGAGCTTCTCTAAGAACAGGGGATAATGTATAAAACTGGACAAAAACTTTCAGAAGAGTTCACATCCATGGTCTACCTGGTGAAATGATGTTTGTGAAAAATATTCTGTCAGGAATTATTTTCCTGGAAGCTCTCGTGTGAACTTGAAGAAGCGTCTCATGTTTTCGTTCCAAATTAATCCATGGGAAGCAGCCAGGTTGTTAAGGGGTAATTAGTGGTGTATACTTTGGAGCCAGGGTTGATGAGTTTGAAGTGAGCTCTGTCACTAGCTGGGTGACCTGCTGTACCTGGGCAAGTTATTGAATCTCTCTGTCCCCTCGTCTGGAAAGTAGTGATAACAGTAGTTGTGACTCAGGTTATACCTGCAGGGGGCCGGTACCCGGCTGCGACTAAGTGTTTGCTGTCACAAATGTCGTTAGATGAAGCAGCCTCTTCTATAACTCTGTGAAAAATCCCAGCGGTCTGAATCTGATTTCACTATGCACAATCATCTACTCCAAAACTTGTCCAAGAAGAGCCAGAATTTTAAAATAACCTCAAAAGCATCAAAAAGAGAAAAATCTATGGTCTCCAGAAACCAAAAATTGAGAACAATGTGTCTGCCCCGCACAAGGAAGCCCAAAGGGCACTAAGATATGAGCCAGCTTTCCTTCCAACAACGAGCCTGGTCATCAAGAATGGGAAAAGGCATTCTCTGGCACATTCTTGAGATTTGTCTGGAGTTTCCACTGCCTGTGTCTGAAAGAACTCTTCATCCACAGTCCCCAGTGTTTCTTCTGCTGCAGGGCTGGGTAACAAGGGCAATGCAGAGGGCTTGCTCAAATTCTCTGGATATTTTTCTGGGGTTTCATTTCACTCTGTCAGGGCCTCCATAGGCAGAAATTCTTCCAAGGACACATCAAGATGTGAACCTAAGAGGTCTTCCCAGGCAAAGCTTTCCATCTACATTGATGGCGTGGTCCCCAGAGCCCAGCATCAACATTCCCAAGGGCATGGAACACGTGGTGTGCACCTTTAAAGGCATACGTGAACAGCAGTTTTTGCCTTGAATTCTTGAGAAGTAAAGGAAACCGGCCACGGAACAGAGGCTGTGCATCACTGCTGAGCTCCCCTGCCACTTAGATCAAGTGGCGAATATCATCTCCCCGGGAAGGAAAAGAAGAGATGTCCTCACCAGACGAGGGACACATGGAGACTCATCCTGTCTGCTGGGAGGACCCCAGGGAGCTCCCCACCCTTCTGTGCCCTCCCAAGGCCACCAGGAGGAGCAACCCCCACTCATGTTGCTGGCAATCTACTTACTGCATCGTTTTAGCAGACAAGGGTTATTTCAATGCCAGGAGGACATTTTGTGTAGGTGATCTCATCAGAAAAGTAGCTGCTTCAGGAGAGGCTCACAGTCTTTGCTCAGCTCTAAGGATTGATTTAAAACAAATCATTCTTGGAATGAGATAGAGAGTAGGAAGCATTTTCCTGTGTGTACGTATGCATATGTGTGTGTGTGCACATACATGTTTGTGTATATGTGCATATATGTGCCTATGTGTGTGTATGCGCTCATGTGTGTGCATGTGTATGTCTGAGCTTCTCTGTGTGTATGTATATGTGTTTGTGTGCAGATGCATGCTTGTGTATATGTGCATGTATGTGCCTATATGTATGTGTATGTGTGCACGTGTGTGTGTGCATGTGTATGTGTGAGCTTCTTTGTGTGTATGTATATGTGTTTGTGTGTAGATCTGTATGCATGTGTGTATGTATGTGTGTATGTCTGTGCATGTGTATGTATATGTATATGGTGCATACATATGCGTGTGTATATGTATGTGTGCATATGCCTGTGTATGCTTGTGTATGTGTGTGTGCACGTGCATGCATGTGTGTGCATGTGAGTGCACATGTGTGTGTGTATAGGTGGGGAGAGTAGGGTTAAGGATGAGCTACTGTAGAGCAGGTAAATGGCACGACAGGCCTGGATGCTAGGGTGAAGTCAAGAGGGCGCCAAGCACCAGGTGGTGGGAGAATGAATACACACAGAGCAGGAGGTCAGGGGGAGACACAAGACCCCTAGATGCTTAGGCTTCCTCAAAGTCCCGCAGCTCTTCCCCTCAGAAAGTGCATCGGAGAGGGAGGATGGGGACTCTATTCCAGTTCTGAGAGGCAAGGAAGCAAACACGGCTTGGCTTCTCTACTTTTATTAGCCCTATGTATCTCCTGGTACGAAGGAGCTCAGTCCCAGCAAGTCAGGGGAGCTTTCTTCACTCACTAAGTCACTCACTCAGTCAGTCACTCACTCAGTCACTCAGTCACTCACTCAGTCACTCTCTCAGTCACTCAGTCA